CCGTCAGTCTAGCCAACATGACCGCCTCCATCACGGGCTACTCGGTCTACCAGGGGTTCTCGACGTGTCTCGACACGTTGTGTCCCCAGGCATACGGATGTGGCAAGAAGACACTGGTGGGACTGCATCTGCAGCGACTGACTATGCTACTGCTATTGCTCACTGTGCCTATCGCCGCGATGTGGTTGAATGCAGACCGCATATTTGCTTTGATATTGCCGGCCCGGGACGATGAGACTGCGTTGCTCGCGGGGCTTTATCTGAAGATTTTGTTGTTTGGAGCACCTGGATATGCTTGCTTTGAGGCTGGAAAGCGCTTTCTCCAGGCCCAGGGTATGTTCGCTGCTTGTCTTTTCGTCCTACTGGGATGCACTGCGTTTAATGCCTTCATGGGATGGTTATTCGTCTGGGTAAGTACATTTATTTTCTACCACTTCTAATAATGCATGAGATGTAAAATCAAAAACTAACACCCAGTCCGTCCAGAAACTAAACTGGGGTTTCATCGGCGCCCCAATCGCAGTAGCAATAACCAACAACCTCCTTCCCGTTCTACTCGCGCTATATGTCTACCTAATCCGCGGCCGCGAATGCTGGCATCCGCTCTCCGGGCAGATCTGGCAAAATTGGGGTCCAATGATGCGCCTCGCGCTGCCCAGCTGGCTCATGATGGAAGCCGAGTTTATCGTGTGGGAGCTTCTCACGCTTGCATCGTCGCATCTCGGTCCCACGGAGCTGGCGGCCCAGTCGGCCCTTATGACTGTGTCTTGTTTTGCATTCTACGTTGGTTTCGCTGTCTCCATTGCGGGGGGTACGCATATCGCTATACTTGTTGGTGCGGGTGCATTGCGTCGCGCGGCGGTTGCGACGAGGGTGGTTCTCTGTCTGGCACTGACCATTGGAGCGAGTGATTTGGTGCTTCTTATTTCCCTGCGGCATGCTGTGCCTATTCTGTTTTCGAATAACCCGCAGGTTTGCCATCTGATCACATACGTGCTCCCGCTATGTGCGCTGCTGCAGATCCCGGATTCCTTTGCTGCCTCGCTGAATGGCGTGCTTCGCGCTCTGGGGCGACCAGATCTGGGCAGTTATGTCCAAATCCCCGTTTACTATATCTTCGCGTTCCCGCTTAGTCTGGGCCTTGCCTTTGGGATGAATTGGAGTTTGATTGGGCTGTGGGCGGGGCTTTCTCTTGGCCAGGTGCTGAATGTTTTGATTGAGGGTGGTCTGTTGTGGTTTCTTGTCGATTGGGAGAAGGCCGCGAGGGATGCATCTGCGAGGAATATGTTGCCTTGATCTGCTGCGTCACCCGGGGCTTAGATTTGAAAGGGTGGAAAACAATGCTGATATATATTCTTAGATTGGAAATGAATTGCTTAAGCTGGGTGTATATACATGAACAAAACAAGTGCTCTTCAAATTGTATGCATGTGGCAGCTCCCAACCGCCGGCGGATGGGTCGGTTTGTATTTGCGCGGATTGCCCTTTTCCTGGAAAAGCGACTCTTCTGGCTGTCCTCCATCATAATACAGGGGAAGGTAGGGATGATAAGGATAGCAGAGCAAGAAATAGAATAAAAAGAACCCCGTTCTATACTTTGTATACCATCAAGAAAGGCAGAATGTGGCCCTGGATTTCCCTCTCATTTATTGTGAATGAAAAGGTTGCGGAACGAGTCCCAGTGGTCCGAGTCGGCGTAGCTGTATCATAAATGTCAGAATACAGTTCCCCAGCAGATCACCAACGACGACTTACATGTACACCATACTGCTCCGCAGACTGCTCACCAGAGTGTCAGGGTACCACCGGAAGATATACATGACAAAGGCCCAGGTCAGACTCGCGAACACGGGCCAGGCGTTATCCGTAATCTGCGTGCGGGCTTCCGGGGTGATTAGAGAGGAGAGGGGGTGCATATTTTCTTGGATGGCCAGCTTGGCGAGGGAGAGCATCACGCGAGCGAAGACGTAGATGACAATCTATGACGGTTAGTCTGCGAGAACCAAAGAACTGGGACAGGTGTCGAACCTGTTGGCTAACGCTTCCCGGCTGCCGTCCGAACACAGTGTATCCGCCCATCAACCCGGCGAAGAAGCTATCGTATCGGCCCTCCTTCCCAGCGCCGGTGGGATTGATGGTCTTCAATACAAGCATGGAGGTCTTGTAGACAACAGCGAATGTAGAAAGGTTCCGCGCATGTTGACGGGTTGCCTTGAGGACGAGCTTGAGCTTTTCCCGGAATCTGGAGATAGATCAGCGGATAATCGGGGGAAGATGGGCCACGGAATCACTTACGTTCCAGACCGGAAGAGAAATATCATCCTATCCATCAACGGCGCCGGTTAGTCTCAAGCGCGCTCGGTCAAAGGGGATGTTCTCCGAGGCACATACACCAAGGCATGCGGAAACCGCACTTTGGACCCGTAGACGATGCCATTGCGCGCGCCCTTGAGAATGGCCAGAAACGGCGCGAGATCCGGGTTGAGCGCGAGGGCGTCCAGACGGGACTGTTTGGTCAGTGTTAGCCGTCGTGATGCTCGGAACGTAAAGGCGGCAACTCACCAAGACTATATCCATGGCGCTGCGGGACCTCGGCAAGAGGTCGGAGGTGGGTGGGAGGGATCAGGAGAGTTGTGAACTAGGAGATGAGATAGGAACTGTAGTCGTGCAGGTCATGAGCAAGGAATAGGAGGAATAGGAGTTGGTAAGAGAGAACAAGCAAGACAGCAGGGAGGGGAGGACGGCAGTTCCGCAAAGAGCAGGCCTCGGCATGTGAGACTCAGCCGAAACGTCATATGTCACGTGACGATACTAGTGAGGGTAAATAGTGATTTGCAGAGGCAGATCAAGATAGGAAGAGAGACAGAGATATATCATGTAGATGTTGGAAGTACTAGGAGTAAGACTTTTCATGTACACCGTGGAAGAGTGATGGCCCATCCATCCCAAACGCCGGCAAGGAAACCCTAAACAGAAATGCAATAGATCCTCTTCTACTCGGTCCGCGCACGCTTGTGGCCCTCGTCCTCAGAGATCTCGTCCACCTCCATCATATCCTCTTCCGCACCCTCATCCTCATCGTCTATCCCCGCCCGACGCTTGAGACCCTTCATCTTGCGAGTCTGCAACCCCTTCAGATCCTGCTTGCCCAGATGCACACGACCAATCTTATCACCGATCGAGTCCATTGTGATATTCTTTTTGGTCTTCATCTCCTCATTCGGTCGCTTGCCCTGCTTCATGGCCTCCTTCATGGCCTCCGGGGAGGCGGGACGCAGGCGGCCGACCTTGAAATCGAACTTGGGTCCGACCTCCTCCAGCTCCACGCGGGGCAGCTTATGGCCACTACGCTTGGTGACCACCTTGTACCACCGCAGATGAACCACCGGCGACAAATCGTCACGGGGCTCCTCGGCACCAACCATAAGCACATACTGCAGACCCTCGACGTCGATCCGGTCGGCTTCTTCGCCCTTGAACAGGTCAAGGAACATGCTCTTCAGCATGACATGCGCTGAAGAGGTCGGGTCATCCCAAGGACTACCCGCGAAAAGCATCATCGGCCGCAGTTCCACGCCAATGTGCATGACCAGCTCGTTGATGGGCGGGATGGTCTCGCCGTCCGCAGCGGGGAGAAGGAGGAGCTCGCACATATCCAAGAGCTGGCTATTGTACATCCGTGCAATAGTCACGCAGTTAGGCCGCTTCTTGTTGCTGCTCCCGAACACAACCAGGCCGCAATCGTTCTTGTTCGCCAAAAACTCGAGGCTCTCTGTGTTCTCGAAGGGACGGATGTTCTCGTTCTTCTTGCGGAACATAATCGAATGAGGCTTTGTCAGGGAGTGAAATGTCTTCAGCACAGTGTCCAGCACTTGCGGACATTTTGCGCCGTGCAGGAGGAGCGTCTTCTTGGGCGGCTCGATGAGTTGCGGTTCCCGCGCCTTGAGGATGCGCGCAATGCGCGGGTTTTTGGGCTTGCTGGAAAGGAATTAGTGAGTTCCCAGGCCACATCGAGTATAGATACATACACTTCGCGCAACATGGTGTAGGAGTGGTCGAGGCAAGTTGGTGGTCGGGGTTAGAAAAAGATCGAACGGGAAAAGTTTTGGGTGAGGCTTGGCGCGCTTATCGATAAGGAATGTGTGTGGTGGCCTGAGGCGTCAACATTCAAGTATATACTTCACTTGCTCCAGAATTCACACGACGAGCAGATGATATGTGGATTGACAAGTACATATAAACCACATTGTTACCAACTATATGCACATGGTTTGAAAACGCAGGGTGGCATTGATGCTGGTGTTTGGCCAATCGTCCCCACTGCACCCCTGAGCTTGCTATCTAGAAGTTGGAAAGCACACAGCAGGCTTTTCGTCAAATTTTGCACTCGGTTTTGTTTCTAATAAGAACCAGTTGCTTCTTCTGACATAGAACCGTCTTACAAACTCGGATTCGTCCAACCACTCGACTTGTTCTCTTGAGGCCATTGTGACTGGTACCTGTATATTGCGGTATGAGGTACTCGAATCATTGGACAATTTCAAGTCATTATGTCAATCATGAATGTGAAGATGGATTAGACGAGGCCCCCAAGGAGAGGACCTAGAAGTATATACTTTCCGAGAGAGGGAGAAAATACCCCTGGGCCACGTGCCGGAGTCGGATTTTGGTATTTCCGCATCGGTCATAACATAACAGAGAACCCCTCCAAGTTACCCGCGATAACACTCAACCACCGGACGGAGATAGGGACCCTCTTTGCGGACAATGACCTTGATCTCCAGTCGTTACCAAGACCTCCTCTACTACCTCAAATTTGCTGCCCCTCGGACCCAGAATCACTCACCCCGCACTGCGATTTCTCGCTGAACATTTCAGCTGCCCAACCCCGGACCTGCTCAACTGTCCCACCCACCGCCATTGTCTTTGCAGAAGCGTCGCACTAGCTTTGACCTCACCGGAGCTTTCCAACGTTGTGGGATCACGGCCGGTGACCCAGCATGGTCCGTTTGTTAACGGATCGGCAAGCTGAAGAGCTGTAAGTAGATGTGGAGGAGCTCTGATGATGTGTTGCTTTTGAAAGCCGATGCTGAGCCCAGTCACAGGCACAAGTCTATCATAGCATATCTCTCAGCGAACAACCTACCGGAGACGGCTGCGACCCTCAGGAAGGAACTGGCCATTGCCGAGGACAGCTTCGATGCAAGTACAGTGAAAAAGTATGAAACATTGCTGGAGAAGAAATGGACAAGCACAGTCCGCCTACAGAAAAAGGTAAGTCGGAAATTGCAGATATCTGCGACGCTATGGGCATCTGCGCATTGCTTTCCTGCGATAGCGCTGACAGTTTCCCCTGCAGATAATGGACCTTGAGTCCCGAAATGCAACCTTGCAATCGGAACTTGACAGCTCGACGCCTGCCTCCCTCCGTGCACGTAATAAAGACCCCGAATCCTGGCTTCCGCAGCAACACCCCCGGTACTCACTGCATTCGCATCGCGACACCATCAATTGTATCGCATTTCATCCCAAATTTTCTTCCATTGCCTCCGGGTCTGACGACTTCACGATTAAAATATGGGACTGGGAACTTGGAGAATTGGAGATGACACTCAAGGGCCATACAAGAGCGGTGCGCGGACTCGATTATGGCGGTCCTCCAGGGGGCATCCTTCTGGCCTCCTGCAGTTCCGACCTTACCATCAAGCTATGGAATCCGACAGACGGCTATAAGAATTTTCGGACGCTACAGGGCCACGACCATATTGTTAGCGCCGTGCGTTTCATACCAAATGGGAGCTTGCTTGCCAGTGCAAGCAAAGACAACGACGTGAGGTTATGGGATGTAACTAATGGGTATTGCGTGAAAACGATATCAGGGCACACGGGCTGGGTACGGGACGTCTGTCCATCAATCGATGGAAAGTTCCTGCTCTCTACCGGAGACGACATGACTGTCCGACTCTGGGACATTTCCTTGGCGAAACCGGAAAACAAGCTGACCTTGATCGGCCATGAGAACTTCAATGAGTGCTGCGCGATTGCTCCACCAACCTCCTATCGCTATCTTGCGCCTTTAGCAGGATTGAAGGTCTCATCTGCGGGGACTACGGCAGAGTTCATGGCGACTGGATCGCGCGACAAGACCATCAGACTCTGGGACGCCCGCGGGAAATGCCTCATGACGTTAATCGGCCATGACAACTGGGTACGGGCGGTTGTTTTCCACCCCGGAGGGAAATATCTTCTTTCTGTCTCGGATGACAAGACAATACGCTGTTGGGACTTGAGCCAAGAAGGGAAATGTGTGAAGACGCTCAGGGACGCTCATGAAAGTTTCATCACTTGCCTGAAGTGGGCCCCGGGTATAGCCAAAGATATACACACGGATCCTGCTAGTGCTTCGGGGGCACAGACTGCGGATGGCACAGAGGCAGCGAAGAGTAAGGCCGGCGGAGAAACCTCGCAGATCCGTTGTGTTATTGCGACTGGCAGCGTGGATCAGAAGCTACAGATATTCGCTGGCTGATGACAAGATATGAGAACGAAGTGAGTGACCTTGTTCATCTCATCTGAACAAATTCTTATCCAGCTAGCTAGCACCTTACACTGTTTCGGTATGGACCAGATTAATGTACCTAGCCTGCACATATGCAGAGAGTGCTGTAAATGCGGCTCGTCGCAAAGTACTGATTCCAAGGGACCCTTCAGCCCGCGCACCGGTTTGCACGGATGGTCTCGGGCATAGATAGAGATGTTGTTTATATTCGGCAAATAAACACATTTTAGGACTGGTGAAGTTGGTCATTTTCCTCCTCTCAGGCTCCGTTTCTGGACGAGGTTTCTCCCAGCGAAGAAGCTCTTTGATTTTAGAAAGACCCTCGTCGTCATCATCATTTGTCTCCCTCCGATCTCCTTCAAATCACCCTTGTGTATATCCGCCTTCAAAGTCGGTTATCCAGGCGTCCATCATTTTCATCACCCAGGATCCCATTTAAATGATTTGTCCTGAACCACACCGTACATCCGATTTCCAAGGTTGTCTCTTCTGGGATGCTTCTTCAATAGACCAAGCATAAATGAATGATAATTAAACTAAATTTTCGTATTCTCCCGGCTATAATCCCATAAATCATCTCGCAATAGCCCAGTCTCTCCCCCTGATACTCCTAGAAAGACTTAGGTGACTAAATGTTCATTGTTAACAAAACCACCAACCCATTTCATTTTTACTCCTTCATATTGCAAAACTCGCGAGTAAATTTCGAGTGTTTGATCCAGAAGTGTCGGTAGTTCTCCGGACTATACCCGGTTTTCTTCGCGTAAGCCATCTATTGATACAGTTTTCTCAAGAATTCCACTTCGTAAGAACGGAATATCCACTCCAATGACTTCTCCCGCGGTGCGATTGACCTTGAAAACCACACGGTCCAAAGCTTCTCCACCATAGTAGAGCCAAGCTGCAGTCTGCCATGATGAGCAGAGCTTTGAAGATAATATCCCCTGACCAGGTAGATCAGAGATTGCTGCGTTATCAGAGGGGACGATGTCAAAATTGATGCGCCAATCTTCAAAGAAAACACCTTCCGCCCCTTCCATTTCCGTCTCTATGTTTGTGGGATAAATGCGGAAGTCCGGGTTAAGAATTCCAACCTGCGGGATCATGTATCCCCAGATCTTCTGAATGCCTCCTAGGATGTCAGATCCATTTCGAGTCAATGAATCTATCTTCAGTCCTGTTCCCCTGTCGATTGAAAGGTTCAAATCCGCTGAACAACTGATCAGATTGCTGCTGGTGCATGATGAAACCGGAATCGAGAAATTTCCTGTATATTCCCGAGCTTGCGTTTGAGCCTCTTGGTCTATGGCTGGAATCAGAGAAGCAATAAGTGCGTCATTCAAAATAGATGCGGTCGCATCCTCCCCTGGACCAGCCGTGAGTACCACAAAGCCCACACCGTATTGGTCCACCAAGGAGAGCTGTGATATGTAACCCATGGCTCCTCCGCTCTTGGCGTAGATATTGACTGTATGTGTGTTTTGGGGTACGAGGTTATCGGTTCGTTGTATTTCCCAGGGTCGACCAACGAGGTTGTTGATCGAAGAGGGCATTGACTGAGGCTTCAGCCATTGATGTGTTATATCGGGGTTTGGGAAGATCGAGTAGTCAAGAATTCGAGCAGCTAATGTCGAGAGATCCCGAATGGACGAGTATAATCCACCTCCACTGGATCTTGTTAGATCTGGTGGCGAGGGCTGTTGTTTCAATAAGACTTACGGAGCATTCAAACCATAGTCTGCGCCCCATCCCTGGTGCATGTCATCTAGAGGTGGTATAACAGCTTTCTCAGTATCTCCAGGTGAGACTCCAGTGTTTGTGAGTCCCAGGGGACTAATGATAGTCTCATCCAACAACTCATCATATGTCTTCCCCGTCTTCTCACTGAGTGCCATTGCGGATAGTGTAAAAGCCAGTGTAGAGTATACTGGCCGTGAATAAGGCTGTTGAACCGGGAGAGCAGTAGTCATCATCTCAATAATCTCTGAAACAGGTTAGGAAAGTCAAACGTATAGTAAAAGGGACTTACGCTGCTCATTGCAAGCATGGCTCAACCCACTGACACCACATATTGGATAACTCTCATTTTCAGCCAAGGGGAAACCCAACTGTTCAAAAAGAGGGCGAAGGTAATAAGACTCGAAAGAGGAAGCTATATCCGCTTCGATCAGTACCCAGCATTCATAAGTATATGTCCGGATTCGTACGTAAATTGGATGGGATACCAGCCAGATGGTTTGACAGTGCCGAAAGGGTGATGTTGCTCCATTGAACTGGAGTCCCTTTTTGGTCGAGACCTGGCAGATACTCAGTGACAGAATGCGCTAGATCAATATCCGACTTGAGTAGAAGCAAATCAGAAAAGACCTTTGAGACAGACCCAATCAAATATTGGGAATCATTGCTAATGTTCTTTGTTCCCTTGAAATTGTTCTTGCCAAGATGGTGATATGACCAGATGATGCCATCGTTCCTATTCTGAGTGAAGGGTGACACGAGTGCGATTGAAAAGGATGTATTGTCGACTTGGAATCCTGCTTTCGTTTCGCCGTTGATTGAGGAGTCAAGAGCCTCAGTCAGCTTCGTGGCCGCATCCTGAATGATTTGTGAGCTGCCCAAGTTTGTTGGACGGGGAAGTAGAGGACCGTCAGGAGGGCATCCGGTCCAGGAAGCCAAAGGGGTACGAGAGGCTTGAACACATGATCCAAGCAGACACAGATTCGCCAGACCAGTCGCCACGGCTGAGCCTTGAAGGATAAACATTTTACCCCGAGTATAACCGTTGGTTCAAATCGGCAGAGTTGTTAGGCTCGAGGAACATCATCCATGCCGCGCTCGATCTCTGAGGTATTTAAATGCCCTATTTATACAATTTTTATTTTCAGCTGAAGGAAGCTAAGACAGTTGTTAAGGGGCGAAATTATCGCCTCATAGACCAAAGTTATCTTGGCACTTCCGTTTTTAGATCCCATCGTATTCGTCTGATAGTGTTGGCGAACCTTGGAGCGGGGATCTTCAAAACAGATCGTCATTTTAAACTTTGCTCGTTTTCACTTGAAATAGAGCTCTTGAGCACAGTCTAGTGAGTCGGAGGCGAGTACGAGGACTTGTCGAAACTCATGATACAAGTTAGTCCTAACCTGAAATAGCCAACACGCTGCTCATCCCAATCGCTATTGTAGTGAAGCAGCAACTTCATAACACCAAGGTGACCTCGGTGGACCCCCAGATCTAAGGCTGCGTATATAGTACTTTACCGATCTAGTTTATAGATCAGCGCCCCTGGTAGCATTGATGTTAGCTTCCAAATACCTAAATGACGATAACATCCCCATATATTCATAGAGCAGGATATTCGGAATCAAGGAAGTGGAAATTTTGAACTAAGGATTTCGGTCTAGTTGTTTTGAACTCATGAGTCAGAGGTGCTTACAATGTCATTCCGGTTCCAACGAGGCATAGACTCGAGAGACGCCGCGCTACCGCTCTTGCTCTAATTTCTAATAGTCAATATCTCACGTTTCGCTCCACTTATTTGCATGACAATGGTTCTGAAAAAACGATGTCTATTTTTTGAGGTGGCCGGGCGACTAACTTTCCATGGATAAATGACAAAGCTCAGATGAAATTGGCGATACATTATCTATGGTTCCATCGCGGGGTTGAAATGGGGTTCGCCACTTATATGGTATGACATCAATCGAGGTTGCTGGAAAATGGAAAATGCAAGCGTCATCTCTTGTAAAAGCTTGTTGAGATCAGAGTACTCCGTCATTCATTTAAACCCCGGGCCGAACATGTAAAGCGATCTCAAGGTATATCTGCGCATCCCAGACGCCCAGGTCGAGCAACCGTGCCCTAAGTATAGATATTTATCTTTCTTACACAACACCACACTCTTCTGTTGTACCATTATGGCCGAACAAGAGAGCTCGACAGCTCAGGCCCCACCTGCGAACTGGGATCCCGAAAGGGGAGATGCTGAAAGAAAAGTGAACGGCGCCCGGGCGGATCGCAATCCCCATCAGGCCTATGTGTCACAGGTGCAAGATCCCAATGCGCCCCGTCCCCACCTGTCCACTGTGTCACAGGTGTCCCGCCCTGAGTTTATGAAGCTGGCAAACCCGGGTCCCCTTGGTTTGCTTGCATTCGCGATCACAACTTTTATAGTTGGTCTTTACGAATGCGGTGCTGGGTAGGCGTTGCTCAGATCTCTCTCCTGCTCTCCCCGGATGCCTAACTTTTCGCAGACTTCCTAACTCAAACCCCCAAGGCAATGTCGGTCCCAACCAGGCTTCTTTTGGAACTGTGGTGTTCATGGGTGGAACCGCTCAAGTTCTTGCTGGACTGATGGAATTTCGTGTCGGCAACACCTTTGGTGCCACGCTTCACACCTCTTACGGTGCATTCTGGCTGAGCTATGGAATGTTCTCTCTGCCAGAGATCGGTATCAAAGCCGCCTACAATGGTGACATGAGGGCATATAGTTTTGCTCTCGGAATTTACCTCATCATGTGGGGGTTTTTGACATTTTTGTTTCTCTTGGCCGCGCTCAAGACGAACGTCGCTATCCTGCTCGTCCTATTCTTCCTGTTCCTTGCCTACTTCTTTCTGTCCCTTGCCAACTTCACTCTTACTGAACATGCCACTGCCAGCCTACATCTGAACAAAACAGGTGGGGCTTTTGCCGTTATCTGCGCGGCCTGTGCGTTCTATGCTGGCGCGTCCGGTCTCATGCAACCCGAAACCACCTGGATCCGCTTCCCACTCGGCGAGATCCCGGTCGAATAAGTGACATGAGGTGAGGTTAATTTGAGATTGGACTATGCGCTTTCGCTGCTTGGAAAAAGTAATTGTTATGCGGCTGGGAACTGTGCGCCGACGTCGAGGTAATCTAATTTTGGTTGAATTTGGAGTATGGATGTTATTCAGTACTACTTTGCCATTCTAGGTATGCGATACTAATGGTATGGGAGTATTGTGTATCGCTTGTGGTTGCTTCTACTAGCAATAACCTTCAAAATAATTGACATAACCAGATTATTCGCTAGGTTTGCGATTTTGTCTATTTCTACTGTGTTTCCGTGGACTTAATTGCAATATTTAGCTCTTTTGTCAATTCCTTTCGATCAATCTTAATTTCGATGAGAATGCCATGAACCGGGAATCACTGGCTTTTGTGAACCTATCATACTGTACAATATATTTTTCTTTTTGTAACTTCGATAGAAGCGCGGCTGCCACAAGCCCACGGCCGTTCCAATCTCTCATGGACGATCAAATAGTCTGCATATTTGTTCAGTGGTATTAGTTTAACTTCCTTTGGAATGTTCAAGACAAGAGAATTACCATTTTTCAGCCATCCTACTATCATCTTGCCCGGCATACCTGCCCGGTAGGAAGTTATACTCATCATCCAGATTCTCCTTAGCGGGCAGAAGAGGTCCCCACTTCTTCTGAAACCCTTCCATGCGGCTTTTGAGACGTAATAAAATTGTCGAATTTTGCGGCTCCTTGGTGGAATTGAGCTCTTTGATACTACAGGTCGACTTCGTCTTACTCATTCTGCAACGAGAACCTTGCGAGATGAAGAGTAGGAAAATAAGCTTGAGGCGGGTTAACTGGTTTGATCTGGCTTTTTACTAGTACGCCTAGGTGTTTTCATAGAATAAAAGTACTGTTCAGAGGCTGTTCTGGTTATCGAGACATTCTTGCGGAACCACAAAGGCATAATATGGGATGACGTATTTGATCGAAAGCAAGTGGGCCCGTTTTCATTTAAGCGTCAGGACGATATTTTGACAAGTACTGGTCCAGTATCTGTTACGCTGGATTGCTATTGGCCCTCGTGAAGAGCAGGTTGACTTGACGTACCCCACTTAAAGTACAAAATATGGAGATAATTGGATATCTGGTTGGTCACGTTACTTCACTCGAGCTACAGGTAATGACGTCGTCTGGCTTCTATACGTCAATGACAAACCCATGGTTTTGTCATGAATATATCACTGGCTAGTGAAAGTATTGGACGAACTTGCTTCGACCTTTATGTACACTTTTACTAGCCGATACCATTTGACTGTCTTCACACCCAACGCGTTGGAATATGTCTCATGGTTAACTCCTGCCGTTCACCGAAAGGGATGGCGATCATCCAGAGTAAAATTAATTACTAGTAACTTATAGTACAGAGGTAGCTTAATCCTAAATAGGTTAATGAAATGCCTGAGGAAAGGTGGAGATGGGCCCATCTGCGGCTCCCCAGCACAGACGCCCGACCCAGCATTGTTGGCTCGACGAAGGTGCAATCATTTCCACATTTTGGTTAATCTACTGTCAAAGGTCCTTAGACAAAGTTTGTTGACCAAAAAAACAAGTTTGCAATCCCATCTCAGGAATAGGGGAGCAAGACACGTGGAAACAACTCCTGTATCTGTGCTCCCGCTGCTTTGAGAGCAATTTGCCCAAGGGGTTCCTGAGCCTTGGCGATGCAGGTGTTATTGGTTCCATGGTAACTCTTGGTGTTCTTGCGGGTTATTCGATATGATGCACATCGCTGTAGTATACTTATATTTCCAAGCTAAGGCTCCTCTGTCGCAAGGGGAAAGCTATGCCAATAATCCCACCACGGACCCTTCATTGATATTCTCGTCTTGAGCCAATCTTTTGCCGCAAGCTTGATCGCACCCTTCTGTCTCCGAGCTTTGTTTTTGTTAGGCCAAATGCGGCAAACGATCTCCCCGTGCCATCTGTGACAATACAAAGGAGCCCGGCGCATCTTCCACGTATTCTCACTGACTCCCACTTCATTGATCAGCAGCTCGCTGCGGTGAGAATAGCGCCAGTCACGTTTTACGAGCCACCTGTGTGCGAGCAAATTTGCAAAGCTCATATTATTGTGTTCGTTTACAACCTCAATGGCCAGTTCCTCAAGGAGTACATCCGAGCGCTTGCTTGACGAGATGGTATTAAAAATCCCGTTCATGAGGTCTTCGTCGACGGCGCTGTTGATCAATACTCTTCTGACATGTCCATTGCGGCTTCGGTAGAACGTGCCAATATTCCTCTTGGAGATCTGGTTGTCGAACTCGTCAAAGGATGGATCGGTAGGTGTTCCACCATGATATTCCATGTTCTCTGTCTCTATGAGTGCCGGGTCCGACGCGTTCAACGCCAATGTCAAGAATTTGAGGCGGCGTATGGTCCCTAGGGCTCGATATAAAGCCACCTCGGCCGCATCACCCTGCGAACGCTTGATTGTGATCTGTAATTCCTCCAAAAATGGACAGTGGCTTCCAATCTGGAGAATGCTGCTCTCGTTCAAGCAGTTCTGTGCTTTGCTAGTGCCTGACAGAACTAGTTTGCGCAAACGAGATCCATGCTGGTCTACCAGCGAATCCATGGAAACTAGGGGATGCCATCCCTCCAGATGTAGTTCCAATAATGGTGGTAGACTGCGCAGAAAGCGCAGAGAGGCCTGATAGAACTCGGGTGTCTTCGTCTCGCCCAAATTTATGAGAAAGGCCTGCAGCGATGGAAAAGAGAGGTTCATAGACCAATTATCCAATACCTCTGCCCCTGCTACACTTGACAGTTCTAGTCTTTCCAGAACAGAGAAATCCGTGTGGTCGGCCCATCCGGAAAGCGCGGTGTCTCTCAGCAAACCGGAACACTTGATTCTGAGCCATGTCAGTGCCGCAAGGGGAAGACGAGCCGCATCTTTCTCATCCGGAAATTTGTCCCATGAAGGATCTGACCAACTATTTGAGAGAGCAGTATAATGATCTTTATAATGCCAGTATACATCTTTCAATCTGGGCGCCAACCCCAGCACACGACGGAGAGCTTTCTTGTGGCCGAGTGATATAGGCAATGGCGTGTTCCTTCGCCGGGACCAGTTAGTCGTCATGATGCTGTACAGCGATGGCGATGTTATCAGCTTGTAATCGTAAGAATCGGTTGCATCTTCTTGGACGTTGCCGAGGTTGAACGTCTGTAAATGAAGCCGACAGCTAGGCTGGTAGTTATGTAGCGCATCAAGAAGACAGGGTGGGAATTGTTCATCTGGACGGTACACCAAATCCCTTAAGGCAGGTAGGTCCTTGATCAAACTGGCCACAGCTCCCCAGTGGCAGTCGTCTTTGTGGATGGATCCGCAATCCCTCAACGGAGGTACCTCCTCACTGAGACAACCGAACTGTGTCCACCGGAAATCTGAGCTATCGGACTGTCGGAGAACTTTCATTACCGGTTTCTCCCACTCATAGATCGGGTATTCCGGGGAATAAACGGGATGGGAATAGCTCGGTTGGCCGGTAATGAGGAGCCGACGAACATACGGGAGTGCGTCAGCCTGGCGAAGCTTTGTGGTCAGCTTTTCTGTCTGATCGGCCAGATCTCCGTGTTCCACCCGTATCTTGATATCATGGAAAAAGACGGATTTGATCGCTGGTTGGCACCAGGCCCAGTAGGTTTTGCTGGTAAGGGCAAGGTTCACAAGTGTTTGGGGGTCAGTTCTGGCGAGGGTACTGGCGATGAGCTCGAATACCTCTAGCGGGAGGTGGTCCAATGTATCAGACGAAAGGCCTGGCGCACCTGAGCCCGTTTTGCTTCCCCATGACCACTTCGACCTAGACATTATGCCGTGGATGTTAGTTGATACTGATAGACTGCCTAGATAATAATCAGTTGTGGTTTGTTGTCACCCCCGCGCTAACAAACGCGCCAAGCCTGGCGGTCCTCTTGAGTTCAAGTTGGAGGCTTGGATTCGGTGGCAGCATTAACTATTTCAATTGGTACAGAGAGCGACCGAAAATGCTTTCGAAATGGCGACGGCGGCGGTGGATTGTAAATTGTAATATATTGTTAAGGCTACTACACTTGGGCATAAATTGCTTAGTGAACAGCACCTACAGCTTACACAAATGTAGCGAGGATATTATGGATCAACCCGAACAGTCCATCTAGCACTGAAAGCGTCAGTTTTGTAGTTTATATATCTTTATAAACCCTACGCAGAACACTTATTCCAAGCGCAGCTTCTCAAACTCCTTAATCTGCTCCTCAAAGCGCGCAGCCTCGCTCTCCGCATCACGCAGGCGCTTCTCCTCCTGCTCCTGCACCTCAGGCTTAACCTTGTCCTTCCAACCAGGGGTGGCCATGATGCCCTGGCTTTTGCTCACAGTCTCGCGTGCCCGGGCTAGGTTCTCCTTTGCCTTCTCCTCCTGCTCAAGGGCAACCTCCTTCGAAACGCGGAGGTACACGGCGGCCTCGGCGCCCACGGCGGAGACGACGCACCCAGAGGGAGGGGCCTTGTTCTCTGGTCCAAGGATGGACACCTCGCCGAGGGTTTTGCCGCCCAGGGACTTGATGCTGTTCACCTCCTCGGAGACGGTGGCGTGGCTGGTTGCGTCGTAGGTTTGGATGATCACGTCGCCCTTTGTCTTGACATCGTACTGCGACAGGATGGAGCGGATGACCTTGGACGTGTTCAGGATAAGCTCATAGGCTCTCTCAGCAGCGGGGTCGTGGAATTCATCCCGGAACTCAGGGAACGCAGCCTTCATGATCGAGATCGTCTTGTCATCGGGTCGGCGGGGAAGGCGCTGCCACAGATACTCGGTGACGAAGGGCATGATGGGGTGGATCAGGGTCAGGGCACCCTCCAGTGCGGTGTACAGGGTCTGCTTGGCGGACTCCTGGGTCTCGGCTGAGGCATCGGCGGCGAGTAGGTACTTGGAGTTCTCGATGAACACGTCGCACAGCTGGCCGTACCAGTACTGGTAAGAGAGGGAGGCTGCGACGGAGAACTCGCGCGCCTCGAGAGCCTCATTCATCTCCTTCGCGGCGACATTGAGCTTGTGCAAGATCCACCGCTCCGAGAGGGACTCGTGGCCGGTCTTGCTAGGGGTAGCCTGGGGCTTGAAGTCATCACCCAGCTTGCCAAGGACGAACTTGGTAGCCTGGTAGATTTTGTTGCAGAAACGGCGGTATCCGTGGATGACCTGGATATCAAAGGCGATATCGCCACCTGGAAGGAAACAATTAGCACGAGGGATATAAAGTTGATGGACAAAACATACCGCCAGTAGTGTAAGAGACGAGAGCGAAGCGAAGCGCGTCAGCACCACACTCGGGAATACCCTTGGGGAAGGCCTTCTTCTGATACTTGGTGGCAGTGGCAACCTCCTTATCAGCCAAGTTACCAAGGAGCAGCTTAGCGTGGAGATCCTGCAGCTGAATACCCTCCATAACGTCCAGAGGGTCAACAACATTGCCCAGAGACTTGGACATCTTTCGGCCCTCGGAGTCTCGGATCAGGGAGTGGCAGTAGACCTCCTTGAAAGGAATCTTGCCAGTCATCTTGATGCCCAGCATGATCATACGAGCAACCCAGAAGAACAGGATATCCCAGCCGGTCTCCAGCACAGAGGTCGGGTAAAGGTTCTCGAAGTCGTGAGTCTGGCGAGGCCATCCCAGAGTGGAGAAGGGCCACAGGCCAGAAGAGAACCAGGTGTCAAGCACATCCGGGTCTCTCACGAGCGAAAACTTTTTGCCAGGGAACTTGGCCTCGGCCTTCTTCTGGGCATCCTCCTCAGTGCGGCCAGTGACCCAGAGGTTACCATCGCTGTCATCGCCCTCCTCGCCTTCGATCTTCACGAAGTAAGCAGGAGCCTGGTGGCCCCACCAGAGTTGGCGGGACAGACACCAGTCGTTCAGATTGCGCATCCAGCGGAAGTAGCTCTTCTCAGCGCTCTCCGGCCGGATGATGATCTCGCCATCCTCGACAGCCTTGATGGCAGGTCCAGCAAGGCTCTCCATCTTCATCCACCACTGCGGCTTCAGAATAGGTTCGATCACATCATTGGACTTGTTGCAGCGCGGAATCTTCATGGGGTTGTTCTCCCACTTGACATACAGACCCTTCTCCTTCAGGGCATTGATGACCGCGTAACGAGCATCGAAACGCTTCATGCCAGCAAAGGGACCACCATTTTTGTTGAAGGTACCATCGTCGTTCATGACAGAGATGAACTCAAGGTTGTGTTCTTTTCCACGGTTGAAATCGTTGAAGTCATGGGCAGGAGTGATCTTCACGGCACCAGTACCAAATTCAGGATCCACGCCCTCATCAGGCACAATGGGGAGCAGCCGGTCCACGAACGGATGGCGGGCGAATTTGCCGATCAGGTGCTGGTAACGCTTGTCGTTGGGGTGCACGGCAATACCAGTGTCGCCAACCATGGTCTCCGGACGGGTGGTAGCGACCTCAAGGCGCTCCTTGGTACCATCCATCTCGTAGCAGAAGTGCGTCAGAACACCGAACTCGACCTTGCGCTCATAGCCTGGCACGTCGAGAAGCGTGCGACCCTCGACCTCTTTGTTGTCGACCTCCAGGTTGGACAATGAAGTGTTCAGGGCCACACACCAGTTGACCAGGCGGTTAGCACGGTAGATGATACCCTCCTCATGGAGGCGCACGAAGGTCTCCGTGACAGCAGCCGACAGATTGGGGTCCATGGTGAAAGCCTCACGAGACCAGTCGAACGAGCCACCGACTCTCTGCAGAGCGTTCTTAATGTTGCTGTGGTACTCGTCCTTCCAGTTCCAAATCAACTTCGTCATAGCCTCGCGACCCAGGTCGTGACGAGTCTTCTTCTCCTTCTTCCACAGCATCTTCTCGACAACGCTCTGCGTCGAGATACCGGCGTGATCCATCCCAGGCAGCCACAGGGTAGTCTTGCCCTTCATTCGTTGCCAACGGATCATGGTGTCTTGCAGAGCGTTCGTCAGGGCATGGCCCATGTGCAGAGAACCGGTGACATTGGGAGGCGGGATCGGAATGACGAACGAGCCCTGGGGTTTGACCTTGCCGTCAGGTCCAAACTCGGGCTTGAACAGATCGCGCTCTTCCCACCACTGGTACCGAGAGTCCTCAATGACCTTGGGGTCATACGCGTCCGTTGTCTTCTCCTTCTCCACCTTGGGGGCCTTCTTGTCGGCTTTGGGCGCTGCCGGCTTGGTGGCTGCGGCCTTGGCCTGCTTCTCTGCGAACTTCTTCGCCTTCTCGGCCTTCTTTCGTTCGCGCTCCACTAGATATTCCCTCAATGTCAGCAAGAGACCTCCCTCTTTCCCGCATGGTTGTCACTTACGCTCCTTCTCGCTCTTCACCTTGGGCGCGGCGGCATCCTTGATCGCGCCGTCGGCAATCTGGTTGCGCGTTTGGTCGTCAGCCTGAGGGGGCCGGTCAGTCATGGTGCTGGAGGGTTCCCCAACTGTGTTCAGAATGGATCATTAGTATCGGCGCGTGCGGCGTGAGTCATTATACGCACCGGGATTGGGGGAGGCAGAGTCCTGAGACATCCTGGAGAATGATCGATAGGTCGGAGTAAATCTCCAAGGCGCCGATCGCGCCACGAATCGCCGGATGAGTATCTTGAAGAAGGAAGTGGGATCAGGGGAGGGATTGGATGTGGTTGTGCGAAAATGCGGGCAAATAAAATTGAAGGCGGCGGGGCGGGAGGCGGTGGAGAAACCCAGCACGACCGGGACCACGACTATAGGGTTAGGTTACTTGACTGTCACCCAGTTTGTCTCGGTCCGGGGATCACTCATCAGTTTGTTGCTTTCCTCAATCTCGAAGATAAGTCGATCATGTCCTAGTCACGTGACTGTGCGGGAGCCGGAAGGTGATCTGAGCTGCGTGGGTCGATACACCTATGGACTAGATGAGGTCGCTAGATCTACCTCGGAGATGGATAGTAATAGGCGTTACGTTGCAATGCATTGTCTCTCTTCAACCCCCACGAAGAATCATCGTCAAGCCCCATGTTCACCCCCAAAACAGACCGTCGCTCCTTGAATGTGCAGGTGTATCCAAGACAGCGGAACAGCAAAAGACAGCAAAAGGAATTAAAGCAAGCAGTGCGAAAGACGGGGGCAGAGGGAAAGCCTCATAGCACAAAGGGAAAAGAAAGAAGAAGGCATCGCTTTACAATTAGACAGTATGAGAGAGAAGAGATGATGCCCTGGTCTAAAGTCGACAACGGATCGGGTGTCCGGAAAACGCCAAAAGAGCCGAGGCATGGGTGGGCCTGGGGTCGACCCAACAGATTAGATGTCATGTCCTTGTCATCAACGTCGTCTCTGTTCGGTTACTCGGTTCACTTCGTCGCAGCCACTTGCTCGAGTGGGTTGCGTGGATCATCCTCCTGTCGTGTTCTCAATCATTATTGGCCCGTTTTCAGTAGCGGCGTAGATGTAGCTGGGAAAGGAAAACAAATGAATATGCCGTGGTTCCGGGGATAGCGGGAGCGGAGAACAAAAAGACGGAGAATTTGCAGATAGAAGCTAGGAAAGCCACATGGGAGGCATTCAGGACTGGACCACGTTGTTCCGTTGTGCGTCCGCGCGCACCGGGTCAAAGTACTGGTGGGCCATGGCCTCCTGAGCCGTCAAGCGTTCCTACAGGGTGGGTCAGCATCATGCCAGAGAATTCGTCGGATCGAAACGTACCGCATGGTCATATCGCAGCAGCTTGTCAAGGAAATCAATTGCCTCCTCGCTGACGAAGCGCTGGTTTTCTGCCGTGACAAAAGAGTGCCACGGCTTACGAGGGAAGCGAGAGAGAATCTCGTCATACTGCGGGTCCAGCTCAATGTCGTACTTGTCCAGGTACTCGAAAAGCTCCTCGGTTCCGAGGACCTTGGCGATTTTGACCAATTGGTCCGAGTTGCTGTTGCCATGGAAGAAAGGCTCCTTGCGGAAAATCATGGAAGCAAACATGGCGCCCAGGGACCACATGTCCAAGGAGTAGTCGTATTCCTGGAAGTCCACAAGCAGCTCCGGGCCCTTGAAGTACCGAGAGGCCACTCGCACGTTGTACTCGGTTCCCTTGTGATAGAATTCGGCGAGACCCCAATCGATCAGCCGGAGCTAGACAAATGTCAGGTCAAACATGCCAGAGAAAAGGATCCACAACTTACCTTCCGTTTCTCATGGTCGATCATCACATTGTGTGGCTTAACATCTCGGTGCATGATACCCTTGCTGTGGCAGAAATCCAGCGCCTTCAGCAGCTCATAGACGTAGAACCGGACATCGTAGTCGGTGAAGCGCGGGTATAGCGTCCGGAAGTCGGTGTTGTTGACGGCTTCGAAGACCAGACTTGGGGTTTTGCTCTGGTTGTCGCGAACGACATCCAGCAGGGCCACGACATTGGGACCTCCGGCAAGGTTCTGGAGGATCTTGATCTCTCGCTTGATCTTCTTCTTCTTGACGGGCTTGAGCACCTTGATAACGCACTTCTGGTAGTTGATAATGTTGATGCCCTCGAACACTTCGGAGTACTTTCCTCGGCCTAGGTGAGGGGAATCAGCAACAGAGGTTCAACACCATTGTGGCAGGTGATGATGCCACAGGTGGATAAGCATTTCGATCGGGGAATTACCTATCTTGCGGACCACCTCGTAGTTCTCGAGCACACCCCAGGAGATATTCACACTGTCGTAGTCCCAGTAGGACCGCGGCATGTGCTCGTTGACATCGGCATAGACACGCGCCATGGTGCTCGGCTGCCGAGTCCCACAATCGAAAACGAAAGGCGGCGGGGGACGAGAAGGGCGACCGTGCGACCCCTGAGAAGAGGAGCTGGAGGGGAAAGAGACAGAGCTGGACCACTGTTGGATGCCCGGCAACGAGATTGGTCTCAAAGAGCGATGCGCGAAGGCAATGGGGGAAGATAGACCAGGTGGGATATTACGCGGGTGATCAGAGTGGGAATCACGGGATCTGCTGTGGTGGGGAGGGGGGATCCCGGAGAAACCTTGATCCGTCAGGTTTAAACAGTCAAGCTAAAAACAAGCTGCTCCTTCTGCAACCCACCAGGCAAGTCGGCCGGCTTTAAAAGGCCTCGCCATGTTCTACGACCTGAATGTCCCTTACAGCCCGGATGATCCGGAGCTGTCTGCCACTCTGGACTTCCTCGCCGAGTGTCAGTCATTCCCATCTCCCCCAGACCACATGAGAGACTGACTTGCTTAGTGGGTTACACCACCGTTGCCCTGTCTCAAACGATCAGCGGCAAGCTCCCTCCGAGCCTCACCCCTCCTCCTTTACCCCCAAATCCGCCCAAATCCCTTCGGCTGCTGACCCGCCTGAACCTAACGCTATCCGATCCCGCGCAGAATCAGCGGCTCGCGTCTCTGACGGGAAGCTATGACCTGGTCGCCCTTCGTCCTACCAACGAAAAGGCTCTGTTGAATGCGTGCACCAGCCTTGAATGTGATGTGATCTCGCTAGACCTCTCGGTCCGACTGCCCTTCTATTTCAAATTCAAGATGTTGTCCGCTGCGATATCACGTGGCGTTCGTTTGGAGATTTGCTACGGCCCGGGGGTCACAGGAAGCGGTCTCGATGCCCGCCGAAACCTGATTGGTAATGCCACGGCCCTGATCCGCGCAACACGAGGCCGAGGCATTATTGTGTCCAGTGAGGCCCGCAAGGCTTTGGGTCTCCGCGGGCCGTGGGACGTGATCAACCTGTCTTGCGTCTGGGGGCTGTCACAGGAGCGTGGCAAGGAGGCTATCTGCGAAGAGGCGAGGAAGGTGACCGCGCTGGCCAAGCTCAAGCGTACGAGTTGGCGGGGGATCGTCGACGTTGTCCATGGTGGGGAGAAGAAACATGACGAGGCGGGACAGAAACAAAAGAATACTGCCCCGTCGGAGACTGGTGCCGAGAACCTCAAGCGCAAAGCATCACTCAGCTCTGAAGTTGTTGCCGAAGAGACCGAGAAACCCTTGTCAAAAGAGAGATGAAGCGGCGGGCGAAGAAGGCTCGATTGGCAGCCGGAATTGAAGATGCTGGCTGAACGTGACTCGTCCAGCCGGATGATCACCCTGACGATCCTCCTGCGTCTATTTGATAAAGACCCCGTGGCAGCTGCTGCCCTTGGCTTGCGATTTGTCCGCTGGGCTGAGCAGTCTTTCTGTTGCCATGTGCCTGGCGCTGATGGAGCTCCTCAAGATATGTCTTCTTTTTGGCTGCCAACTTCCATCGCCGCTAAGGAATCCCTCTGCGCCATGGCTTATTACCTCTGCACCCAATTCAAGTGCAGCGCGGGGTCCGCTATGCTTCCCGCTCAACTATATGAGCGCATGGCAGGAAGCCATTGAAGGATGGGCAGCAACTGAAGCACCAAGACAGGTAGCTGCGGCCGACACGATGCCCTCTCGTGTGGATGGACACATTCATGTACAACATATGACCGCAGCGTATTATTTTTTGTTGCGAACCCGAAAATTCGTCATGAATGTCTAGATAAGCACCTCCGAATATACGTCTCTGTTTGTTTTCCTGATAGTGTAGTACCTTCGAATATTGAGGCCTGTTTGATAACCATACATCATCGAAACCACTCATTGACTGGTTTCACTTTGAACAAGATGATGCAGGACTTTGATCCTAGCACCTGTCTCTAGCCCTAAGCTTGGCATCTTAGATAACCATCGCCAAGTTGCATCTTGAATGCAACTTGACGTGCTCGGCACATGATGTTACATCTCTATCAGTTTAAATACACTCTGGCGTCGATCGAAGGGTAAACCCGGAAGAATCTCATCCGGGCCAAGCACAAGGATTTGGTGTTGAAAGAGGGGCAAGCCCTACTCCTCCGCATCCGCTTACAAGAGGAGCATTATTATTGATCATCAGTGTTTTACAGTGATTCGACCAATCTCCGACTTGATTATTTAGTTTCTCCACAATTGCCTTTGGTATATCCACCAATACTCTTTGTCCGGACCTCAGGGTGCCGCTTCCCAAAAGTTGGCGCCCGATACAAGCCTTGGTGGTTAACGCAATTTTCCCATTTCCTATCTAACTCCTTTGCATAATTTCACATGAGAAATTCCTCCACGGTAGAACAAATACCCCGGCCCGCATTTCTTTGGGCAGCTGCCAAACTCAAGGTACCAAGTCCGCTGAGAATGCGTCATATCCAAGCTGTGCCTGGTAGGTCAACGCCTGGTCAAAATCTCCAGGTATCGCTAGAAGGCTTACCGTGTTTCCAAATTCTTTCATGGAACCCAAATCAAGAGTGCTTTCGGGATTCCGAAGTCTATTTCTTATTTGTCTGGGTTGATGAGAAGATGGACTCGTCGGAGAACCGGGAGGTGTCTTTGCCTACCCAAGCACCTATCCCCTGCAAGTCCTGTTGCATCGCTATAGACTTTGCAGATGGGTTTCTGTAGAGGTTGTTAGCTATCCTGTATAGCTACCGGCTAAACTTCCTGTATCGTACCTTTGAGGCGGGACCACGGAGCTTTGACTCGACGGAGAAGTGGACTGCCCCGCAGATGTGGTGTAAGAGCTGCCCCTCTGGGGGTTTGAGGTACTTTGGGGGGAGGTGGGGGAGGTAGTCGAAGAAGAAGTAGACTGCTTAGGTGGACTCATTGTTGCGAAGAATGGCACAAGTGGGTGGTTCAAGGAGGATATAAATGGAAGGACTCTGCTTCCATTTTATGGATGCCACGAAAGGACCTGCATGAAACGGGGGAATCGTCCGTGTTTTTATAATCCATGTTTTGCTTCAGCAGAGGGAGCGTGCTCGCGAGTTCCGGATCGAATGTAACTATTCGGCTTTGCCCTTGACGGGACGTCGGGCTGCACTGCTTGCTTTTGCTCTGTACTACACGAACACATGACTACTGATGATCGGCGTCAATCCGGCTTGGTTCAACGTATTTTCCTGACTGACGGCCAATCACCCCGCGCGCCAACTAGCCCCGAAGCGCAACTTCTCCGGCCCAACATTGCTCGTTGCATTTCTACAGAGCCGCATCGGCTTTGGATATCTGGATGCAGGCTGCAGGTATTCGGTTGCCTTGTCTAAATGCGAACCGAAGGATCGTCTTTGTCGGTGGTTGTGGAATCACCAAAGGCTTGTCATTTTGATAGTAGGATACATCATCAGCACTTTATCATTCGTCCGTTCGGCAACGGACCGGACCGGATAAAACGCGTAGTCGCCAGAATTATTGCGCGCTGTCCCATTTACTGCAGATATATTTTTGTGACCGCCTTTTTGAAGCCCGGCAATAGCCTACACGGGAAGGACAAGGGAGAAAACAACAGCCACAGCAGGGATACTATCAAGGCTATCAAAATCAACAGTCCCACGTGGCGGTCAGGCGTCGATATGATGAGCTGTCTTCATGGTGGACTATATGATTGGATGTATCATTCTGCATGGCGTAACCCTATCAAACAACATCGGAGAAGATGTATAATGCGTATGCAATGGATCCGTCATTTTGCCTCGGGAGTTAGTGAATATACACCACGTGGGAGATGATAGCAACTAAAATCTGTAGTATTCTCCAGATCATACTATTTCTACTAGCCCTAAGCTCCCCCCACCTCCCAACATCGGCCCTCCCCGTTCTATCTTATCGCGCGCCCACTCCCCGGAGACGGCCGACCAATCCACTTCTCCGCGGCGCCTTATAAACCTCTCCAAGTATCCCAATACATTATTCCTCTGCGTTAGCGACCCCTCCAGGCCTGCAGTCATCAGCCATGGCGCCAATTCTCACCACAAACCCATCCCTCACTCTCACCCCGGAGCCTCTCACCCCCGAAAATTTCGCTCCCTTTGGCACTGCGATCTGCCCACCTCTCCCGCGGGACATCAGCATCCCACCGCAACCGTCGCACCTCCCAGCATACAACCCAGCCCCTATATTAGCAAACCAAGGCTCCGCGCTGAAATACAGTCCCATCTCGCCACTGTTAGATCGCTACAATGCGTGTCCCAGCGGCAAGGCGTCGTCCGCGCGGATGACCATGTTCTGCTGCTTTCCGCGCAAACTGCGAAGTGTCACCGCGGGTCGGCAACAGGCCGACAAGGAGGTTTTCGACGTGCGCATTCTTGAGCGACACCCTTTCACGAACCAGACTTTTATTCCTGTTGATCTGTCGAGTCACTCCCAAGTCGGAGGCAGTGGAGAAGAAGAGCCCGTGTTTCTGGTTGTTGTTGCGCCAACGCTGAAGGGCGAGACGGCCACCGCCAAAAACGAGAAGGGGAAGATTATTACTATTCGCGACCCACCCGATCTCCAGAATGTGAAGGCGTTTATTGCGCGCGGCGGGCAGTCCGTTAACTACGGGGTGGGGACTTGGCATGCGCCTATGGTGGTCCTGGGTCAACGGCGGGTTGATTTTATGGTTGTGCAGTTTGTGAATGGGGTTGACGACGAGGATTGTCAGGAGGCGGCGTTTGGGGAGGGCGTTGTTGTTGATCTGGGTGCAAAGGGGCAGCACGGAAGGGCTGAGAGGGCTACCAACAGATTGTGGTCGAAGCTGTAAGGCCGATGGGAAGGAAAGGTTCATGTATCTCTTAACGAATTTCGCATTTCGGTGGTATCTTGGACAAAACAAAACGCCGATGAATGTACATACACATAGATGCAATATTGTACAGTGCCAAAGAAAATACACAAAGAAATCTAAACAACTTGGGGAATGCCTTGATCCACGGGCGGTGTCACGATGTGCATCTCCTTCCGAACACGAGTCGCCAGCTTGAGCGTTTCCGCAGGTAAGCCAGCCAGCTGTGCAACCTTGAAAGCGTGGGATTGGCGATTGACGCCCTTGCGCAATCGATGAACAAACGAGAATGACCCTGATGACATCTCCTTGACATCTGTACAGTACCTGCCCAATTTCTCGAACGACCCAGTCATCTCCGCCAGGGCATGGAAGTGCGTCGCAAAGAGCGTGCGACACTGGTTCTGGTAGTGCAAGTGATGCAGACAAGCAAAGCTGAGCGCGGTGCCATCCTCAGGTGTGGTGCCCCGGCCCACTTCGTCCATGATCACAAAGGACCGCGGTGTGGCTTGCTTGAGAATGGCTGCCGTTTCAAGCATCTCGACCATGAACGTCGACTGGTCACGGAAGAGATCGTCTGCTGCGCCGATGCGGCTGAAGATTTGGTCGACGATCCCGATCTCCGCGTATGCTGCAGGGACGAATGAACCGACCTGAGCTAGAATCGTGATCAGTGCGTTCTGCCGCAGGAACGTACTTTTGCCGGCCATGTTTGGTCCGGTGATGAGCCAGATGCCTTCTGCGTCACCCAGGAAGCAGTCGTTGCTCACAAACGAGCGCCCTTGCTCCTCAAGTCCGAGCTTGACGGTTGGATGCCTGCCTCCAACGATCCTGTGGCTGGTTCCTTCATTGAGAATCGGCCGCACCATTTGCTGCTCCTGGGCCAACGTGGCAAAGGAGCATGCAACATCCAGTTCATCCATGACCGCTGCATTACGCCGGATTTTGACCAAATTCATAATAACTTTCTTCCGCAAGGCCTCGAAGATGGTCTGTTCTTCTTTCCGAATCTGAAGCTTGACATGGTCCATCTGGGTTCCCAGGGTGGTCCAATCTGGGAGGTAGAATGACCGAGTCGACTTTGTTGACGAGACGTTTCGTGTAACCCCCAATCCTTCCAGTTTTTTCTGCGATATTTTGGCACTTTTGAGGTGGCAGATATACCCGAGACCTGCTGTCCATTTGAGATTCAACTGCGATGAGCTCACGGAATCACGGAGACGTTGAGTCAGCTCGTCTTTCTCAGTGAAGAGCCGCTCTAATGATCTATGAAGGGAGTTCAGGTTTTTGCTGGCATCGCGCCTCATGATCCACGTATCGATAGACCCGGAACCTGCATCTGTCGCTGCAGTTTGGGTATTGGTTTTGGACCTCACTTTTTTAGGCAAGCTCCCAAGCTCGTCAGATGTGCCCTCGCTCATAGCAACATCTTGCGCCAGACTCGCTGCCTCTGAGGCGGTGTCGTCTTCAATGCGTTGCTTCTGCAGAAGCCCTTCTTCATCAATGGCCGCAAGGATCTGTTCTGCCAGCGCAGTCGGTCCGTCGAGCTGAAGTCGACCGATCATGAGTTCGAGGCTATGGTGGGCATCAAGCGCTTGAGCAGAGGAGTGGCGCTGGTAATGACTAGAGAGGAGTTGTCTGACCTCCTTGGACGCCTCGATGGCGCGGGAGAGACAGACCAAGTCGTCGGCTTCACCTTTACCGAGCGCAAATTTCTGCACCAAGCGCTGGGCGTCATAGCTGCGTTTCAACAGCCGGACCGTATTTTCCCGGAGGTCCTCGTCTTTAACAAATACGGAAACAAGATCGAGTCGCTCGTTGATAATCTGCAGAGATGTAGATGGAGACGCTGCACGATAGTTGTTAGTGATGATAGATAAAAAGTCTGGGTGAAGTAATTCCATACTGAGTCGGTCTCGGAGTAGACGGGCTCCGCTCTTTGTCGAAGTTCTGCGTACCGCATGGAGAAGGCTGCCCTTCCCAAGGCCGTCACGCGCTGTTTCCAGAATTTCCAGCCCTCGCAAGCTATTCCGATCGATACTCATTGACTCATCCAAATGCCGGCGACGAGGAGGTTGAAGTTTCAAGCTCGAACTTTGCAATCGCTCGCGAATGTACTCCAGTAGACTGTAGCCGGCGGCCACTTCTTCTGCAGCAAAGGACGCCTGAACGTCTTCCGGGACCGGGGCTTCCAACATTGGCTTCCATTCAGACATCGGCGCAACCGTGTCTGGAAACCCGAAGAAAGTCACAAGTCGATGATCATGGCCAACCAGCAGCTGCAGCTCCTGGCCGACGAGATCGCGCACGTTCTGATCCACGAGAATTTCTCGAGCACCTATCCTCGCAATCGCAGATGGGAGCATCTGGGCCGTGGTGAGCTGGGTAAAGAAGTCGCCCGTTGAGAGGTCCAACCAAGACAGCCCTACGCGCTGAGGCATGGAGGATAGTACGTGCTGATGCGAGTGTTGGGGATGATCCTGCTGCTTCAAGCGTGCGTCCAGAGATGGTACATCCAAGTATATGGCCAGCAGAAAGTTGTTTTCGGAAGGATCCATGAATTTCTCGTCAATCAATGTCCCGGGCGTGATGATTCTGACCACCTTCCGGTCGAAGAGCAGGCCACCTGATCGTGCTTTATCCTCTACCTCATTGGCAAATTCCTCACTGATCGCCACGTACTTGTTGAGGTCTTGGACAAGGGACTTAAGAAAGCGATCCAGTTGGAAATGGGGGAAGCCGGCCATAGGAACCGGTCCAGCGTTGGTCTTCTTAACCGCAAGTTTGATGTTGAGCAACGGCGCAAGTTCCTCAGCTTGTTCGAAATATAGCTACAGAGATGATACCTATCAGCCCCCGTTTCTTTGCAGTCACCAAATGTCTGTACCTCGTAAAAGCCCCCGACTCTTGTGAGGATAACACAGTTCCTGAACCTTTGCATGTTGTTGCGGTGTTGTCGAACGACGGTCGGGTATCGAGGAGAATCGTCCTCCACCTCATCGCTGTATGCCTCCAATTTCAGAGCACCCTGAGGAAGGTCTTTCACTGTCATGGTCGTCTGGGTTTTGGCGCTCCTTCGGGGCGCGATTGGTAGTGGTGCGGCCGCGACGCGAGGGCGCGAGGGCGAGCAAGTGTGCAAAGCATGGCGGCAGACCGTCCGATGCGCTGGGCAGCGATACGACCGGACGATACCATTGCCAGCAAGAGCCAGACCCACGGGCCGACCGAGGCGCATCACGATACAGTGTTGCGTTGGTAGCAAAGGTGCTTTACTGAGGAACAGTCCATGGATTTGGCCGGCAGAATCCAAGCTCCCACTCCGTTCCGCCTTCGCCACCGAAATCTTCAACCCGCGTCCTTCGCTTCCTTCTTATCCATCAACCCTGGCGTCTTTCATTCTCTCCCAAACCAACGTGAGTTCGCTTGCGGTAGGAGGATGAGCCAGGTTTGTGAGACCTTTTGAAATCCATTCTTTGACAATCCAGTGTCGGCCGCGACCCTGTCTCTGAGCTCCGGACTCAGATCCTGGTCGCGACTCATTCTTTTTTTCATTTCTGTTGCTTGCCTGCGATTCGTTCGCTCCCACCACCAAAATGGCGGACCAAAATATTTCGCAGTACAAGTACTCGGCGATGTCCAACCTGGTTCTCCAGGCGGACCGTCGTTTCATCAGCCGCGTCAACGATGAACCCACCGGAGACCCGGAGTCTCTCGCAGGCCGCATTGGAATCCGAGAGATGGGCGGCCAGGTAGCGCGCGACCATGCGCCCAAGTCGAAAAAGAAGGCAGTCGGCCCAACAGATATTGAGCGCGGCAGCATCCGTGAAGGTGAAGACGTGCTTTTGCGGGAACAGAAAAAGCGCCTGCGCGGTCAGCCAGCGCAGCAACGAGGCCAAGGCATCCTTTCTGCCGCCGATGCTCTCGTTGAAGGCTTGAAATATCGCCCTCGGACACCCGCCACACGAGCCACGTACGACCTTATCCTTACGATCACCGGTGGCCATTTGGGCGATGTCCCGCACGAAGTCGTTCGCAGTGCCGCCGACGCCGTCTTGGAATACCTGAAGGATGAAGAAATGAAGGACTTTGACAAAAAGAAAGAGATCGATGATCTTCTGGGTAGCTCAATGAACCCGAAAGAGTTCAACGAGCTCGTCAATCTGGGCAAAAAGATTACGGACTACGAAGCCCAAGATGAAGATGAAGAAATGGAAGGCGGCATGGAGGAAGAGGGCGCTGAACTCGATGAGCGCCAAGGTGTCGCCGTTGTCTTCGATGAGGAGGATGAGGATGATGATCGCATGGGTACCGTCGACGAAATCCGAGACGATGACGAGCTCACCGATGAGGAAGAGGCTGATGAGGAAGATCGACCTGATCTTGAAGCTGCTCAGGACCTTGAGGATGGTGATGAAATGATCATTGACGGTGGCATGGCTCGGGGTGATAAGACACAGGATAAAACCGGGCTGAATGTCCCTGCTCGTGAAATTGACGCCTACTGGCTGCAGCGTCAGATCGGCGCCTTATACTCGGATGCCCACACCCAGCACGAGAAAGCTCGTGACGCGCTCGCAATTCTGGGTGGCACCGCGGAGGATGGCACTCTACGCCCATTGCGCGACGTCGAGAATGACTTGATGGAGCTTTTTGATTACGACCATCCCGACCTCGTTGCCAAGTTAGTCACCAATCGCGACAAGGTCGTCTGGGTGACCCGGTGGCGAAGAGTCGCCGAGGATGCCGATGCCCGCAACCTCGTAGAGAGTGAGATGGTTGAGACGGGCCACCGAGCAATCTTGGATGAAATCCGTGGCAAAACTCGAGATGAACTTGCGGACCGGCCCGAAAAGAAGATCAAGCTCGACCTGATGGATGTCGATGTTCCTTCAGGACCGGCAGAAGAGAAGCCTGCTGCTGCTGCGGACGGTGGATTGGTCGGCGGTTTGCAGCCGCAACGGCTGATCAACTTGGAAAACCTTGTTTTTCATCAGGGCAACCATCTCATGACCAACCCCAATGTCAAACTACCCCAGGGTTCTACGAAACGGACGTTCAAGGGGTACGAGGAAATCCATGTTCCACCACCCAAAGCCAAGAAAGAGGCCGGCGAGAAGAATATCCCGACCACTGAATTGCCTGATTGGGCGCGTGTCGGATTTGGCAGCTCCAAGGAATTAAATCGGATCCAAACCAAGTGTTACCCGTCAGCCTTCCACGACGATGGCAACCTGCTTGTTTGCGCTCCCACGGGATCTGGGAAGACCAACGTCGCTATGCTCACTATTCTTCGAGAAATTGGCAAGAACCGCAACCCCGAAACAGGAGAGGTTATGCTCGATGATTTCAAGATCGTGTACATCTCCCCCTTGAAGGCTCTGGTGCAAGAACAGGTCGGAAACCTTGGCAAACGTCTCGAGCCCTATGGGATTAGGGTCGCCGAGCTTACAGGAGATCGACAACTCACCAAGCAGCAAATCGCCGACACTCAAGTCATTGTCACCACCCCTGAAAAGTTCGATGTCATCACGAGAAAGGCCTCGGAGACCAGCTACACCAGACTCGTCCGTCTCATCGTCATCGATGAAATTCATTTGCTTCACGATGATCGTGGTCCGGTAATTGAGAGCATTGTCAGCCGGACAATCCGCCGGGTTGAGCAGACCGGAGACCCAGTGCGGATTGTTGGTCTCAGCGCTACTCTTCCGAACTACCGTGATGTCGGCAACTTTTTGCGAGTTGATCCTGTCAAGGGTCTGTTCCATTTCGATGGCTCTTATCGGCCTTGTCCGCTCAAGCAGGAGTTTATTGGTGTCACCGACAAAAAAGCAATCAAGCAGCTCAAGACGATGAACGATATCTGCTACAACAAGGTCATGGAGCAAGTCGGCCAGCGCCGGAACCAAATGCTTATTTTCGTCCACTCCAGAAAGGAAACGGCAAAGACTGCCAAATACATCAGGGACAAGGCTCTTGAGATGGAAACCATTGGTCAGATCCTGCGCAGTGATGCGGCCAGCCGCGCTATTCTGTCAGAGGAAGCTGAATCTGTCGATGATCCATCTTTGAAGGATCTCTTGCCTTACGGACTCGGTATTCATCACGCTGGTCTGAGTCTGGCAGATCGTGATTCCGTCCAGGCTCTGTTCGCCGATGGCAGTATTCAGGTTCTCGTGTGTACAGCAACTCTGGCTTGGGGTGTCAACCTTCCCGCGCATACCGTCATTATCAAGGGGACCCAGGTTTACTCTCCCGAGAAGGGTAGTTGGGTGGAACTGAGTCCTCAAGATGTTCTGCAGATGCTCGGCCGAGCTGGCCGACCTCAATACGATACATTCGGCGAAGGTATTATCATCACATCACAAGCCGAGATCCAATACTACCTCTCGCTCCTGAATCAGCAACTGCCTATTGAATCACAGTTGGTCAGCAAACTTGCGGACAATCTGAACGCTGAAGTCGTACTTGGAAATGTTCGCACCCGTGACGAGGGTGTTGAGTGGCTTGGGTACACGTACCTCTATGTTCGCATGCTTCGCTCTCCAGGCTTGTACAGCGTCGGTGCCGACTACGAGAATGACGATGCCTTGGAACAGAAGCGAGTTGATCTCATTCACTCGGCTGCCGTTATTCTTGAAAGAGCCGGGCTCCTCAAGTATGAGAAGAAAACGGGGCGTCTCCAGTCGACTGAGCTTGGACGGATCTCCTCGCACTACTACATCGGACACAATTCGATGTTGACCTACTCCCAGCACATACAGCCCTCCATCACCACCATCGAGCTCTTCCGCATCTTCGCCCTGAGTGACGAATTCAAGTACATCCCTGTTCGCCAAGATGAGAAGCTCGAGCTTGGCAAGCTTCTGGGTCGCGTGCCGGTTCCCGTCAAGGAGACAATCGATGAGCCCCATTGCAAGATTAATGTCCTGCTGCAGGCCTATATCTCGCGACTTAAGCTTGAAGGTCTTGCGCTGATGGCAGATATGGTTTATGTCACTCAGTCCGCGGGGCGTATCATTCGAGCCATTTTCGAGATCTGCTTGAAGAAGGGATGGTCCTCGGTGGCCAAGACTGCCCTTGACCTCTGTAAGATGGCCGAAAGACGCATGTGGCCAACGATGTCCCCGCTACGTCAGTTCCCAGGCTGCCCGCGGGATATTCTGCAAAAGGCCGAGCGAATCGATGTGCCGTGGGCCAGCTATTTCGATTTGGACCCCCCTCGCATGGGTGAGCTTCTGGGCATGCCCAAAGCTGGGCGCGTCGTCTGCGACCTTGTCTCGAAGTTCCCCCGCCTCGAGGTTCAGGCTCAAGTACAGCCCATAACGCGGTCGATGCTGCGAGTAGAGCTTACCATCTCGCCGAATTTCGTCTGGGATGATGCTGTCCACGGCACCGCGCAAGATTTCTGGATCCTCGTTGAAGACTGTGATGGAGAGGAGATCTTATTCCACGACCGCTTTTTGCTGCGGAGGGAATTTGCGCAGGCCGAGGTGAATGAGCATCTTGTCGAATTCACGGTCCCGATCACTGAGCCGATGCCGCCCAACTACTTCATCTCCTTGGTGTCTGATCGTTGGATGCATTGCGAGACGAAGATTGCAGTGTCTTTCCAGAAGTTGGTCCTTCCTGAGCGTTTCCCTCCCCACACACCGTTGCTCGATATGCAGCGTGCGCCAGTCAAAGCCTTAAAGCGCGCGGACTACCAGCAACTCTACCCTGATTGGGAGCACTTCAACAAGATCCAGACCCAGGTCTTCAAGTCCATCTTCGACACTGACGACAACGTCTTTATTGGTGCCCCAACTGGTAGCGGCAAGACGGTCTGCGCCGAATTGGCCCTGCTCCGCCACTGGTCATCGGAAGAGCGTGGCCGGGCTGTTTACATCGCTCCCTTCCAAGAGTTGGTTGATCAACGTCATGCAGACTGGGAGAAACGACTAGGCAAGCTTGCTGGTGGTAAGACAATTGTCAAGCTCATTGGAGAGACAACGGCCGACCTGAGACTCCTTGAACGCGCCGACCTGGTCCTTGCCACACCTGCGCAGTGGGATGTCCTGTCTCGTCAATGGCAACGACGCAAGAATGTTCAGACCGTGCAATTATTCATCGCGGATGAGCTTCACATGCTTGGTGGCTACGGTGGATATGTGTATGAAGTGGTCGTGTCTCGCATGCATTACATTGCTCTCCAGACCGAGAACGAAATGCGCATCGTTGGCCTAAGTGTGCCCCTTTCAAACGCCCGTGACATCGGCGAGTGGATCGGTGCCAACAAGCATACGATCTACAACTTCAGTCCCCATGCTCGCCCCGTGCCCCTGGAGCTTCACATCCAGTCATACACCATCCCGCACTTCCCTTCTCTCATGGTCGCAATGGCCAAGCCTACCTATCACTCGATCCTACAGTTGTCTCCCGATAAGCCAGCTCTCGTCTTCGTTCCCAACCGCAAGCAGACACGGTCAACCGCGATGGATCTTTTGGCGGCTTGTGCCATGGACGACGACGAGGACCGCTTCTTGAACGCCGATGTCGATGAGCTGGCTCCAATCCTTAGCCGTGTTCAAGAACAAACTCTCGCCACCTCGCTCTCTCACGGTATTGGTTATTACCATGAGGCCTTGAGTCAGACTGACAAACGGATCGTCTCGCATCTGTTCACCATTGGCGCCATCCAAGTGCTGTTGGCCTCGCGTGATGTCTGCTGGGAGCTGGATCTCACTGCTCATCTGGTGATCGTCATGAACACTCAATTCTACGACGGCCGTGAGCACCGGTACATCGATTATCCTATTAGTGAGATCTTGCAAATGTTTGGCAAGGCTTCTCGTCCCGGTCAAGACAAGAGCGGCCGTGGTGTGTTGATGGTACCGGCTGTTAAACGTGAGTACTACAAGAAGTTCCTGAACGAGGCACTGCCCGTCGAAAGTCATCTGCAGGTGTACTTGCACGATGCCTTTGTGACCGAAGTCAGCACGAAGACCATCTCGTCGACGCAGGATGCGGTCGATTGGATGACGTACACCTACTTCTACCGTCGTCTGCTTGCCAACCCAAGTTTCTACGGTCTAAGCGATGTGAGCCATGAAGGTCTGAGCACGTTCCTGTCGGAGCTCGTGGAGAACACACTGAAGGAACTGTCCGAAGCCAAGATCATTGACTTGGATGAGGAAGATGACACCGTTTCGCCATTAAATGCTGCTATGATTGGCACGTATTACAACATCTCCTTCATCACTATGCAGACCTTCTTGCTGTCTCTGTCGGCTCGCACAAAGCTCAAGGGCATCTTGGAGATTGTCACATCGGCCACGGAGTTTGAGTCTATCCAGATGCGTCGTCATGAGGATCATATTCTTCGTCGTGTGTATGATCGCGTGCCCGTCAAGATGTCAGAGGCTGCATTCGACTCGCCTCACTTCAAGGCACTTGTCCTTCTCCAAGCGCACTTCTCCCGAATGCAACTGCCCATCGATTTGGCCAAGGACCAAGAGGACATTATTCGCAAGATTCTTAACCTGCTCAGCGCGTGTGTCGATGTTCTTTCTTCTGAAGGTCACCTGAATGCAATGAACGCCATGGAGCTGTCGCAAATGGTGGTCCAGGCTATGTGGGATCGAGACAGCCCGCTCAAGCAAATTCCTCACTTCGGCCCGGAGGCCATCCAGGTGGCTAATGAGTACAAGTATGCACCCTTCCGCCCCAATTTCGAACTAGCTGCTAACCTAGCCTGTGCAGTATCAACGACATCTTTGAATTTATGGAAGCCATGAACCCTGGCGAGAACAAGGACTACGCGACGCTGGTCAAACGCCTGGGACTCAACAACAAACAGCTGGCGCAAGCAGCGGCCTTCACGAACGAGAAGTACCCCGACATCAATCTGGACTTCCAAGTCGAAGACCCGGAGAGCATCACGTCGGGTGAGCCGGCCTACCTGCAAGTCAAGATCGAGCGTGAAGTGGAGGAGGACGAAGAGCCCGACACCACGGTGCATGCGCCTTTCTATCCCAGCCAGAAGATGGAGAATTGGTGGCTGGTGGTCGGCGAGGAGAAGACCAAGAACCTGCTGGCTATTAAGCGGGTTACTATTGGTCGGCAGCTCGAGCTACGCCTGGAATATGTGGTGCCCACGCCTGGCGAGCATGAACTGACGCTGTACTTGATGAGTGACAGCTACGTTGGTGTGGATCAGGCGCCGACGTTTACGGTGACTGCGGCGGAGGGGATGGAGGAGGATGAGAGTGGAGAGGAGGAGGAAGAGTGATTTTTGGTTCTTTCTGTCTGTCTATGTACTAGTATTGAGTGCGCAAATAATGGTTTCATTCAAAAATATACTACTCGTCTACTTCATAGTACTTCGATGACCAATGAGAATCTTGTCAACCTGAGAATTAAGGTTGCACCCGGAGTGGAGATCACGTGATGAGATCCGCGCAGAAAATGTCTTTTCCCACTTCGGACTTTTTGCGCTCGTCAATCACACTCTCCCACACACTTATCCACCTGACAACCACCTCAGGCAGTGAACCTTTTGCAGGCGAGCCTACTTGAAAACAAGGCTATTCGAAAAGAAAATGGAATCCGCTGAGAACGCAGGTAAGACATCCTGACCTCTAGCCGATGAATCTCTTGAGACCTGACAATATGCGATGTACAGCCTGGCCGATGGCCGATGCCACCCTGGCGCAAGAGCTCCTGGATGTCTTGCAGCAGGGAACTCATTCCCGACAGGTGAAGAAGGGAGCGAACGAAGGTGAGTTCCATTGTCCATGGAGTTTCTGTGCTTCGGGAACTAAGTCTCGTCTACATAGCCACCAAGTCTGTGAACCGCGGTGTCTCTGAACTTGTCATTCTCGCTGGAGACACGACCCCCCTGGCTATCGTCATGCACCTTCCGCTTCTGTGCGAGGACAAGAACGTCCCGTACGTTTTTGTGCCTAGCAAGGCTGCGCTGGGACGGGCGTGTGGTGTGAGCCGACCCATCATTGCTGCTAGCATCAACTCGAACGAGGCTAGTGACTTGGCTCCCCAGATCCGTCAGCTCAGGTCCAAGGTGGAGAGACTTGCCATCTAATAGCTTGTCTAGAATGGTGGAGCAGGTTTGGTCAGTACTAGATAGTCGTTATGCGACATCGTTAGGATACCAAGTTTCCTCTCTGTGCATAGCTTCTACCTCGGTAGCTTTTAATTAAGTCGCTGGCTCTCATACGGAATTGAATCTTTGATTGTCTTGTTCCTATCTACTTCTTGTAGTGCATAACTAACTGGTACAAATATTGCCGCTAAGATAAGCAACCCCGCATACTCCAACCCCTTCCTTTTTTCCCTCCTTCAACTCTTCAATCTCTGGTCTCCCTCATAAGCATTTACTCTTGCATATATTCTTGCGTATCTCAGTTCTGAACATCCGATATATATTCTGCGGTTGTTCTCCTACTATATTTGTTCACCTTCGCTCAACCCTAGAAGCTTTTATCATCGTACCCCGATGGCTATCCGCTCCATGAGGTTCACACCCGAGTAAGTGCAACTCGCTTTTCTATCTTTGAATCGTGAAACTGACTGGTCTTTCAAGCGTTCTTCTTGGTGCACCCCGACGGTCCTCCGCTGTCCCCAACGCAGCGGGGACCCTGGCGGTGTACACCCAGACCTCTTACTCCTTCGAATCGCATTCCAAGACCAATGAGATTCGTGTGCTCGATATTGATTCTGGCCAGTCTGCACTCATTACCAATGATCCTGGCGCCACCAACCCGCAGTGGCTCGGCGACGGCGACCAGCTGGTCTGGCTGAAGACCAAGGCCAATGGGAATACCAGCTTTATCGTCGGTGATGCGCGCGAGGTAGACAAGACCTACATGGCAGGCACGGTTCCAGGACCAGTTTCGGACCTTAAAGTCACAAATATCGAGCCTGGGAAGATCGGTTTCGCTGTGAGCGGCAAGGCCAACCCAGACGGCTCGCTGTACAATCCGCATGACGCTAAAAAGCCCCTCACGACGGGTAAGCTGTACACGTCACTCTTTGTCAGACATTGGGACGCATATGTTGAGCCGCAGAAGAACGCAATCTGGTATGGTCTATTGGAGAAAGCGCCCTTGTCCCCTGCTCGCAGGCAGGCGGGGAAGTATTCTGTCTCGGGACTCACCAACTTGATCGCGGTCTCCGGGCTGAATGGGGTCGAGTCGCCAATCCCACCATTTGGCGGCAGCGGAGACTTTGATATCAGTCCGACCGCTATTGTTTTCATTGCCAAAGATCCCAACCTGAACCCGGCTACTCACACTGCTTGCTCGTGCTACTATGCACCTATGTTTTCTTGGACAAGCATGAGCACCAAGGACACAGTCTGCCAAGTTCAAGGGTTTGAAGGCCTCCAGGGCGCAATGTCATCTCCCGTTATTACTTCGGATGGAGGCTCAATTGCACTTTTGGCTATGCAGGTTGATGGATACGAGTCTGATAAAAATCGGATCCTGTATGTTCCGAACCCATGGAATGCGGAGATGATTGAGGTCTTCCAGTCGTCGGACGGAAAAGGAGGCTGGGATCTCAGCCCTTCCGCCATCTCATTTGCCCAGGGCGACCAGTCACTGCTTATTCAAGTGGAAGAGAATGGCCGCGGAGTGCTATATGACCTTCCATTGCAAAACATCCGCAGCGCCAAACCCGATGCGCTGAAGCAGTTGACTCGTTCTGGATACGTCAATGATGTGGCTCCTGTCGCAGCTAACTCTTCGAAGTTGTTCATCTCCAGCAGCAGTCTTGTTGACAACAGCTTGTGGTCCATTATTGACCCAGAAAATCCAGATGATGTGCGTGTGGTGTCGTCGAGTAGCCGAAGCGGAGCAGCATTCGGGCTCTCCTCGTCCCAAGTCGATGAGACTTGGTTCCGTGGAGCAGACGATCATCCTGTACATGCTTGGATCATCAAGCCGTCCAACTTCAAGCCCGGCGAGAAGTACCCTCTTGCGTATTTGATCCACGGAGGTCCCCAAGGTGCATGGAATGACCAGTGGAGCACGCGCTGGAATCCCGCCGTATTTGCTGAACAAGGATACGTCGTTATTACACCTAATCCCACCGGTAGCACGGGTTACGGACAGCAGTTCACGGATGCTATTCGCGGTGAGTGGGGCGGACGCCCATACGAGGATCTGGTGAAGGGCTTCGAGCATATCCAACAACACTTAAAGTATGTTGATATCACCCGAGCCGTTGCCCTGGGTGCCTCCTACGGTGGCTACATGATGAACTGGATCCAAGGGCACCCTCTCGGCCGCCAGTTCAAGGCCCTGGTCACCCACGACGGAGTGTTCAGTATGACCTCCCAGCTCGCCAGCGAGGAGCAATACTTCCCTCTGCACGACCTCAAAGGCCCAATCTGGAAGGTCCCCGAGAACTGGGCGAAGTGGGATCCGTCGCGCTTCACAGAGAACTGGTCAACTCCGCATCTGATCATCCACAACGAGCTGGACTACCGTTTGACAATTGCCGAGGGTCTCGCTGCGTTTAATGTTCTCCAGATGCGTGGTATCGACAGCGCATTCTTGACGTTCCCTGATGAAAACCACTGGGTTCTCAACCCAGAGAACTCACTGCTGTGGCACCGCACTGTCATCAACTGGATCAATAAGCACGTTGGTCTGCCGCCTTTGTCGGAGGAGCCTGATCTGTCCCAGGAAATGGCTAGCATATCTGTCTAAGGTTGCGTCAATTTTCTTCGTGATATCCGAATGACATGGGTTCAATTATGAGATACACAGAGCGTACCTTGACCAAAAGCTGGAGATTCCGAAATGATTTCAGTGATCAAATATGAGTATGCAAGGGCTCTATTCAAGCATGGCTGTAGTATGCAGGATATGGGCCAAGTCACCCAAGGGCGTAATGTCATCAAGAGCGCTGAGGCGATGAGGAAACTGTTTGCGCGCCCGGCGAAGTTCTGCCCAGCATCTTCTGAAGATAACTATGACGACTTAACGATGCTCTAGGGTCGTTGAGAAGTGCTCATTTGATAATACCTTGAGAAGAAGAAAAACAAGGACAAAAGCTGCATATCCTTCAAAGGTCGAATGACATCAAGTACAAATATGGTTATCCCTACGAAATATATCTAGCACGGAGGCAGTGAGTTGTAAAAGCATAAGGTCGCTCCATAGAAGGTGCCATTCATGATTGATGGCATCCGTTAATAGAATCTCTTGGTCTACTTGAATGGTGGCTGAGCCGCGTATACACAATGACTTGCACGAATGTCTTTTCTTGGACAAAGCCACGACTCCAGTCTCGCTTGAAACAAAGCATTCTATTTTCGAGAGTTTCAGCTTGTTCCTACCTGCACTTTCATTGTTCGCCCGGTTATATATCTGCGTAGCTTCCCCTATGTTGAATCTATTTCATCCTACCTTCTAAATTAGCAATTTCTGAAAATGCGAAACACCAGATCTCTCTCGGTCTCCGACCATTCCATGCCTTCCCCTCCGAACTTCTCTACTCTCACCAACCAACCGTCACCTCCGTCCTCAGTCCCAGAGAGTCACTCACAATTCCACCCAGCCTTTCTTCCTCTCCTCCACCATCTGTCCAGTCCACTACACCAACTAATCTCCAGCACAACGGGTCTGCCGCACCCAGACTTCCCTGCAACCTTACTGGCATACCACCTTCTCACCGCATCGCAACTCGACAGCCTAGCGGTTCATTTTCACCAAGTCTGGCCACCCGTCCCCGCAACATCGTGGTATCCAATCCGTGTTCCGCCATGGATCGGAACGGCCGAAGAAAAAGATGTCGATCTAGCTACGAAGCGAATGCGGTTTGGACAGTTTATTGGGTTGAGGGGCTGCTCCGGGCCCAGGGCTGAGAGCGGAAGGGTGAATGAGCATGCTCTCGCAAAAACAAGAAATTCAAGAAGGCATCTGGCCGAGAGGGAGGTGATGGAGATGATGATGGGATGGATGGAGAGGGAGTGGCAGAACAGTCTGGCCAGGGCTAAAGAGGAGGAGGATGAGACGCGGGTGGGTTATAAAAGAAATGACTGATGTTTTACTCATCTTTGTCTTTTGTCTTGGCTTTGGAGTTTGAGGTTGAGTTTGTGGCTATTTTTGTTTCTATCTTACAACAAAGAATATATAGACCGAAGACATTCTTTCCCCAGGTTTTGACTTTACCCGCCCTGAATTGCCGCCATGCCGGTTCCAACGTTGTGGCGTTCGACGGGATGAATCTGGGCTGCTTTAGCCGGCGCTCGGGTAAAGGCTGCCCATGGAGGGGAGCATATATAACCAGGAGTGTACCATTCCTAACTAATTCTCCAGTTTTTTTTTTTGGCGGGGAGACTCCAGATTTGTATTATTCTGATCGCCGTTATTACCCACTCCAGCCCCAACTCCGACGCAACAACCAAATCATCTCCACATCCCAACAAGACAATCAAAATGGCCTCGGAACCACTTGTAAAACACATCTACACGGCCGACCCTTCGGCCCACGTCTTCAACAACAAGTTGTACATTTACCCGTCGCACGACCGCGAAACAGACATCGCCTTCAACGACAATGGCGACCAATACGACATGAACGACTACCACGTCCTCTCAATGGACAAAGTGGGGGGAAGTAACCGACCACGGCGTGGTACTGCACCAGAAAGATGTCCCTTGGGTATCGAAACAGCTCTGGGCGCCCGACGCAGCGCACAAGAACGGGAAATACTATTTGGTGTTTCCGGCACGAGACCAGGACGGCATCTTTCGGATTGGCGTAGCTTCCTCTGCGCAGCCGGAGGGTCCGTTCAAGGCCGAGGAGAACTATCTTCAGGGCAGCTATAGTATCGACCCTGCCGTGTTTGTCGATGACGGCGAACAGGGAGATGGGGAGGCGTATCTCTATTTCGGTGGCATTTGGGGTGGGCAGCTCCAGTGCTGGGTTGAGCCCTCCATCCTCAACAAGAAAGAGGGCGAGAATGAGCTGAACTCTCTTGTCTTTGACGCCAGCCGCTCCGGGCCCCAGGAACCATCCGGCAAGGGAACACTCGCGCTTGGTCCGCGCGTCGCAAGGCTAAGCGAAGACATGCTCTCGCTTGCCGAACCGGTGCGCGAAATCCACATTCTCGATCCGGAAACAGGCGAGCCCCTCGAGGCAGATGATCACGCCCGCCGCTTTTTCGAGGCGGCCTGGCTGCATCGCTATAACGGGACCTACTATTTCTCTTACTCAACGGGAGATACGCACTACTTGGCTTATGCGACGGGGTCGTCGCCTTATGGGCCGTTTACCTATCGTGGACGCATTCTGGAGCCTGTGCTCGGCTGGACGACGCATCATTCTATTGCAGAGTTCCAGGGGAAGTGGTGGCTTTTCTATCATGACTGTGAACTGTCCAAGGGCGTGGATCATCTTCGGTCCGTGAAGATGAGGGAGATCGTTTATGATAAGGAGGGGGCTATTCGTCTTGCTTGATTTACGTCTCCTGTTATCTACGGGTTTGGCTGTCTAGATAGTATTCTTGGATGTGTCAATTGCTATGGAAGTCTGAACCAACTGCCTGAAATCTAGTGCCCCATGCCCTTCTCCCAGTTCTCCTGCACGATCTGCCAGTACTTCTCCCGCGTTCGGATGCGACATGCCTTGCCCCATTTAATCATCACCAGGAAGGCAGCCGCACAGGCCATGCCGATAAAAGCAGCAGAAATAAAGCAGTTCTGGTAGCCCATATTCTCGATCCACGGCGTAATCCTATTCATTCCAAAGTTAGACCATATCTCCCCGGAGACCAGATGAAAAGTACTTACCCATAACCAATGGCAAAAGACATAGTATTCCGCACCAGAATCACGCTGGCGATAGCAACCCCGCTCAGTTCGCGGTAGCTATCCACCATGTAATTGACGCTCAGTGTGACGCCACACGTGTTGGTAAACGCCAGCATGCACATCGCCACGATCAGACCAAACCAGTGGACTTCGTGTGCGGCGCCGACGCCCCAAAGCAGCAGAGAACCGGGGACGAGGAATAAACATGCGACGAATGGCCATAGACGGTGCTCTGCTTCCATGACGCCGTTGTTGCGCCGGGCTAGTTTGATGGTGAGCCAATCGCTGAAGCGGCCAGTGAAGATAGATCTATCTGAAGTTAGTATTTTGTTTGGTATGGACAGTAAAAGAAGGTAGGTTACCCGAGTGTGACGCCCAGACAGCAGGCTAGGTAGCTGACTCCGACCATGGAGGAACTGATACTTATTAATCTTGGATTTCGCGTATTATGGGGTTCCTGCTTACCCGAAGTTATAAGGTGGCGAGCCTAGAATGATGGATGCGGTGCCGTTGAGAATGTTAAAGAAGACAAGGTAGGAACCATACGAGAATCTGCACCATCATTAGTAACAGGGCATCTGCTTGGATTGACACACATACCCAGCGTAGAAGATGACCGGCCATGAGAGGTAATACAACGTCTGCTGCACTCTCCGAAGCATCGTATTCTGATTCTGCTTCGGCCCAAGCAGGGACAGCTTCTTCAAGTATGACTTCTTGGTGTAAACCGCGCCAGACTCTGGCGCAGGAGCAGGCTGTTTCGAGGTCTGCGCTGCTTTCTCTGGATCGGGGTCACCATTCTGCGAGCTTGTGGGAGATGAATGATCAATTCGGACGTTGGCGATCGTCGTATCCTCGATATTATGTCGCACGTAGTTCGTTTCTTCCATGAAGAAGAATAAGAAGACAATGATGATGCCGCAGAAGACACTTGGCCAGTAGAACACCCATCGCCAGCCTTGGTATTCTGCGATGAATCCACAGATGACGGGTGCGAAGTAGTTGCTGCCTGCAAGAAAAAATGCATAGAGACCCATGTATGTTCCGCGCTCGTGAGTGAAGTACTAGCCATTGTGAGTGAGTGAGTGAATTGGCGCGAAGGCCAGGGATGGCACTTACCACATCTGTGACGGTGATTTCCGGGAGGGCTTCTATCGGGGCTGTGAAGAATCCTTGAATGATATTTCGAGCTATCCATTGCCCATTGGTGGGCGCATAGGGTCTGGCCGTGATCCGTTAGCAATAATACTCCCTCTCGCACTTCTCTGACAACCTTACCCCCACATTGTAACTGCCTAGAAACACATCGTCAGCCTCACTCTACACCTGAAAAGGAAAAGAAAAATAAAGAAGTACCAAGATGCCCGCCAGCGACAATAAATAGGTCAAGCGTTTGCCAAATTGCATAGCAAACGGCTGCCAAAAGAGCAAACCCCACCCCGCTAGCAAAAACATATACCCCGTCCCCTCATTGAGCGTGCTCACAGGCAACCCGGACTGTTGATGTAGGGGCACGAGCACAGAGTACACGACTGAACAGGCAATGCCCGACGCCAGCGTGTACAGGCTTACACAGACCGTGGACAGCAACTTTCGGCGCCGGCTCCAATTCAAGGGATCATCTGGGTCATTCGAAGGCGTGGGGATGAGCACGATGTCATGGTCTCGTCCATGGTCCAGGTGTCGCGCTGCCATGACATGGTCCACGTCTACTAGGGTGACAGTGCCAGGGATGGCGGAGTGGTCGAGCACCGGCGCCATGGTGGAAATTGGATGGGTGGTGGCAGACCAGGACAAGGAGCGAACAAGGCGAGAGATATACCTCCCTGGCCGAGGGACCGTCGGCTAACAACAAAACACTCGGAAGGCTTCCGCAGATAAGCTTAGCTGCCTGCCGGAAGGAGTAAAGGGAACCAGAGGCTATCAGGATCGTCGCATTCCCCGCACAGGAAGTAGACTAGAAGGGTTTAGGGCAAAGTCAAGGAAAGATGCCGATAAGGCGAGTACGAAGTGAGTGGAAGACAAAATAAAACATAGGGAGAAAAGAAAATAATGGTGATGGTCTATGCAGTACGAAGTAGTTCTCCGACCAGCTCCTCGCTCCGTGTCCACAACGCCGTAGCACTGGCTTCACCCACCGGGAAGTCGATCTGCGGCAGCGTGAGGACCTGGTTATTGTCCAGAAACGCTCCGGACTGATCTAGTCCGTTGTTCGCCAATCAGTCTCTTTGCTAAAATATGTGGTATCGTATGGTTCTCACCTCCCAGGATCGGATCCAGCAATCCACGCAGTATAGTCGCGCTGCCCTGAGCCTGTGACTTGGGCACCTGCTGAAGAAGAATGGGCAGGTCTTCACCAGCTGGGAATGTCAGTCAGCGAGCTTTATGTTGTGAGGGCGATGCAATGACCAACCATCTTTCTTCTTCTGCAGCCATGACGAGACCTCTTCCGGCGAGACATAGGTCTGGATGTTGGTCTTCGTATCTGCCAAGGGTCAATATGATCCTCTAGAAAGCGATAAGAGCTCACTTCCGGGATTCGCAGAAAAAGCCACAATGGATCGTCCGACGCATTTGCTGGCGAGAGACTTGACGAACAAGATGTTGGCGAACATGGACTGCGCGTACCCGTCGAGAGGATGGTATGTCTCCCCATGCTTGCCTCCCTCTCATACGTCAACAATCTTCAGATCAGAGAGAAAAGAAAAGAACACACGCACCGAGAATCCCACATCCTCCCACTCCGGCGCCGGCGCCTCCCTCCGCACACTGGTCGTAACAAGCACAACCCTCGAACCAGGCGACATAGCATCCAACAACAGATTCACCAGCAGGAAATAAACCAAGTAGTTCTTCTGAATATGCGATTCAATCCCATCCTCCGTTGTTTCGTACGGTACCGCCATGACAGTGGGAAACCCAATGAGGCCATCAATCGGCACGCCAAGTTTCTTGATTGTCAGCGCTGCGTCGTGCATGGATACTAGGCTGCCCGTGTCGGCGGTGATGAAGACGATCTTTGTTTGCGGATGCTTGCGGTTCAGGTGGTCAATTACAGGCTGGCAGTCGGATTGCGAGTGGCCCGTGAAAATGATACAGCCTGCGCCGCCGTGGGAGAGGCCGTCTGCGGTGCATGCTGCTAATTCGCCGGGGAGTAGGCTGCTGAGGAGGACTACGCACCGAAAAGAAAGGGTTAGGTTGAGGTCAGAGCTGGTGAGGGAGGTGAGAGTGCAACATGTCTTGTGTTTCACCCTCTCGGGGAACATGTCCGCCACGTCGCTTCCCTGTGTGTCATTTTTGAACATTTGGCTCATCGTGTTGGGATGTTATTTTGCTAAGAAGGTGATAGATCAGGCCTAGTGAGTGTATATGGGTTGTACTTGACGTGTCGTCATGATGAGTTTGCGGGCGATTACGTCGATATAGTTGTATTGATTGATGATAAACGCTACAAGAGACGAAGAAGACACAAGCCGACATCCCTGCTGTATAACCAATGTCCATCCATACTGTACAGATCAATCCACAGCAGTGTCCGAGCCTGCCGGAGTGCTAATGGGTAAGATTATAAGAAAAATCTCAGTGAGACGCGCCGGCAATGTCATTGTCCTCTGGCAACTGCTCAATAACACCCTCCATGATCTGGATGAGCTCATCCATATCAGGCCGGTCCGCGGGCTCCACTTGAAGGCATTTGCGAACGACTTCCTTGACGGGGGTGCTGATCAGGCCTGTGTTGCCACGAGAAGGCTCCTCGTTGTCGCCGCCGACTTTGGCCTTGCCCTTGGACGCGCCGGTGTTTTCGTCGGGGAATCGCCAGTCGCCGCCGAGCACGCACATACTCAAGCTGCCGCCGGTCTCTTCACTGCGCGCCTCGAAGGGACTCTTGCCGACAAGGCAAGCATACAGGGTACAGCCCAGCGACCAGACGTCGACCTTGGTATCGATGATGGACCCGGTCTTCACGTCGAAAAGTTCGGGGGCGCGGTAGGGCATGGTGCTGTGCTCCGCAGCGGTGTCTTGCACCGCCAATGCCAGGGATCGCGAAGTAATGGCGATTGGGCTCGGTGACAGAGAGCCGAGATCCATCAGGATCGGGGTTTGGCCGTCGTCATCAATCATGATATTCCCTGTGACATGTTAATAGGATTGTACGACGCTTACAGACAGGGCACTCACCAGGCTTGACATCGCGATGTGCATAGGGACGCAGGTCCCCATCCTGAACCCCTTCCTGGCTGCGTGTCACCTCATCATCCATCAAGGGTTCCTGCTCCTCATCATCGTCATCGCGATGGCTGGCGCGCCGCTTGGGTTTCATCCGCATTGTCCTTTCCTCATCGGCATCCTCGCCCTCTTGCCGGATCGCCCGCGCCGCGCGCGTAGACCCAGCGCCGCTCTTGACGCGATACTGGTGCATGGACTGGAGCGCATTGGCGACACCCAGCATCAGCATCATCAGCCGTTTCTCGGGAAACCGGGTGTGGTTGACCAGATTGGCGTTGATGGCATCCTGGAGGTTTCCGCGCTGGTAGTAGGGCAGCAGAATGTAGACCGTCTTCGATCCGGCGTCTCCGCCATCGTTGCGGAACTTCGACCCCGATTCGGTTGAGACGCAGTGGTCGATCGAGTGGATGATGTTGGTAT